CCCTACTGCTCCTCCTGAGTCTGTCTCTGCGCTTGTCGCTGAGTACGAGCTGGCCTACCTTGTTGCTGATGTTCCCCATCTCTGCTCCATGTTTGTATCCCCAGAGGGCGACCCAGATGCTCTCGACATCCCTGTTCCTCGCTCTTACGGTGTCGAGGCCCTAGGCAGCCCAGTGGATACAGGTCATGGAGGCTGAGATGACATCCTACAGATCTACAGGCACTTACGTCGACGTAGTTCCCCCGCCTGGGGCGAACGTAGTTGATGGCATGTGGATCTACAGGGTGAAGCGCGCACCTGGAGAGCCACCAAAGTTCAAGGCGCGTTACGTGGCTAGAGGCTTCAGTTAGCGTGAGGGTGTGGACTTCTTCCAGTCCTTCTCCCCGACCCCGAAGATGACTACACTTCGGGTCCTTCTTCACATAGCCGCGCAGCGTGACTACGAGATTCACTCCCTCGAGTTCTCTACAGTGTTCCTGCAGGGTAGTCTGCACGAGCAGATCTACCTTCGGTGCCCTCTAGGCTTCTCTGGGTCCTTCCCATCTGGGAACCAGTGGAGCTTGGGTCGTCCTGTCTATGGCCTCCGTCAGGCACCTCGTGAGTGGCACGACACTCACACCACTCTTGCTGAGCTGCAGTTCTTTCCGTCCTCTGCTGACCCCTCTCTCTTTGTTCGCACGAGTCAGACACCGTTCTACATCCTAGTGTATGTAGACGATCTTATCTTTGCTACTCCTGACAGAGTCGCACTGGCCTCAGTAAAGGCCGAATTGCTTTGGAGACACACCTGTACAAACTTGGAGGAGCTGAGGCACTATCTGGGCTTGGAGATCTCTCGTGACCGCTCCGCTTGCACGATCACACTCTCGCAGTCCCATATGGTGCAGCAGATCCTCCAGAGGTTCAGTCTCCTGTTCTCCTCAGCACAGCCCACCCCCGTACATGTGGATCACAAGCTCTCTACTCCTGTTCCGGCTGAGCTGGTCGAGGCTAGTGATCCATACGCAGAGCAAGTGGGGTACCTCATGTACCTGATGACCTGCACTCGACCAGATCTAGCGTACCCTCTCAGGCTCCTAGCTCTCTTTGTCATGACAGGCAAGCACCGACTAACCCACTGGTTGGCTGTCTAGAGGGTACTGCAGTATCTAGCAAGCACATTTGGACTGGGGCTTGTGCTAGGATGAGAAGAGCCAGTGGTGCTCACTGGACACACAGATGCGTCGTGGGCCGATGACTTGGAGACGCTCAGGTCATCTCATGGCTACTGCTTTAGTCTTGGTACTGGTGCTGTCTCGTGGAGGTCCACCAGGTCGTCGTCTGTAGCTCTATCCAGTTGTGAGGCAGAGATCTACGTTGGGGCCATGGCCGTTCAGGAGCTCCGCTGGTTGTCTTTCTTGCTCACTGATTTAGGTGAGCTGCCTGGGTCTGCCCCGGTCCTATTTGCTGACAACAGGGCCATGATCCTCTTGTGTCAGGAGGCTCGACTTGAGGGCAGGGCGAAGCACATCCAGCTGCGGCACTTCCTGCTATGTGAGTTTCAGCAGCGCGGTCAGGTTCGTGTAGTACAGTTGGCCTCAGAGGCCAACACCTCTGATATCTTCACCAAGGCACTTGCGCCCTGTGACCATCAACGGTTCTATACTCAGCTTGGTCTAGCCTCAGTAGCAGCACCACTTCTTGTATCATGAGTCATACTATACCTACTTGTACTTGTTCTATACCTGCTTGTCTTGCTACACTTGCTGACTGGCCTTGTGGCCTCTTGTCTCAGTGGTCAAACTAGTAGTGTTGCCTTGATTTTTCTTATTATACTCACCAGAGGTCAGACTAGTAGTGCTTCCCTGGTGTTCTTTGTTATTGTTGGGCTGAGAAAAGCCCTTAGGATCTTTCAGAGACTAAGTCCCAGTTGTACAAGATACTTGAGTGGTGCAGCGGAAGTTGAGTAGTTGAACCCTTGCACTAGAATGTGAGAGCAAGTGATTGAAAAAAAGGACAAGCATACAGCAATATATAGAAAGTAGGAAAGTAAGGCAGTTGTAGAATACAGTTGAAAGGGCGGTTTATCGAGTCGCACAGCGACTCGATTGTCGCTTCGGTTACCATCCTTGCAGTTGTAACGGTCAGTCGCAACCTCCGGTTGTAACCCTTCGAGTCCTTTCGTGTTCTTTGTCCATCCCTCGTATAACCTCCGTTGACTCGCGTACCCGTTACGATCTTCCTCGAGTGTGGTGTTACACTTCAGAAACGCTTAAGTCCTTGAGATATTTCCAACACTCCCCTTCGTTTCTAGAGTGCTGCTGTGTCCGGATTCGGTGATGTTTATCTGCCCGGTCAGTATCATGCAGTAATCGAACTTTGCTTTCGTTAGTTTCTTCGTCAGGTAGTCTGCAGCCATTTCTGTCGTGGGGCAGTAACTGAGTTGAAGTCTCCCCTTCGCGATTTCATCTTTGACGAAGAAATATTGCAGGGCGATGTGCTTGGTTCGGTTGGCGAAACCGTCCTTGTTCGCGATTTTTGTCGCATATTGGTCGCAGAGGAGTGAGAAGGCGGGCAGGGTCGCAATCTTTGCTTCCTCGAGTAACTCTTGCAGGTAAAGTCCTTCCTTGGTCGCAGTGCAGAGGGCGATATATTCTGCTTCAGCCGACGATAGTGCGATTAGTTCTTGTTTGCTCGACTGCCAAGAGATAGTCCCGATAGGCTCTAGTCGGTAGATGTAGCCCGTCCTTGAGCGTCGATTTTCCCTGTCTCCCGCGTGGTCGGCGTCGACGTAGCCGAGTAGTTGTACGGACGATGTCGTTACTTTACTGTAGGTAAGTCCGGTTGTCGGCGTAGAGGCGAAGTAGAGTAGTGCCCGATTTAGTTCCTCGAGATCTTCTTGTTCCGGCTGCTTCATATGCGTCGCCAGTTATCTCGCGCTGTAAGATAGGTCAGGTCGGCAGATTACTGCTGCGAATAGTAGGCAGCCGAGCTTCTGCTGATACTCCTGGATTTGCTTCGCGGGGAGTTTTGCAGAGGTGTCGTTGTTGTTCCCGTAGCGGTAGGGAGTCGTGACTGTAGTCGGTGTTAGTCCGAATTTCTTCGCGACAACGCCTGCGTATTTTCCAGCATATAGGTAGAACGCTGAGTTGTCTTCGACGACGTTCAGACCCAGGTACTGGGTCACGGTGTCAGACACCGTGAGTGTCAAGTCACTTCTCAGTTCCCCTTCGAACCAGGTGGTGATGTCGGTAGTGGAGCCAATGTAGAGCAGGTCGTCGACGTAGACGATGAGTAGGATAAAACCTCCTTCCTTCTGTAGTGGATACATGCCTTGGTCGTGCGGCAGCTGTAGGAAACCGATTCTGACGAGGCGACCGTGAAGGTGCTGCTGCCAAAGCCGCGGAGCTTGCTTGATCCCGTAGAGGGATTTTATCAGCTGGCATACTTTTGTGGGGTCGTCGATGAATCCATGGGGCTGCTCGACGAAAATCTCGGCGTCCACACGTGCGTACAGGAAAGCGTTTGCGACGTCAATCTGGCGCAGTGGTAGTTTCTTCGTGGCCGCGACGGCGAGTAGGATGCGCAAGGAGGTGTGACGGGAGACTGGGGCGAATGTTTCTGTGTAGTCGGTTCCGTATCGTTGATCGAAGCCTCGTACGACCCATCGAGCTTCGAATCGTTCGATGGAGCCGTCCGCATTGGTCTTGATACGATACACCCATTTTCCCGAGAGAACGTTCTTCCCGTTGACGTTCGTTGCAGGTACCAGCTTCCATGTATTTCGGTCTTGCAAGGCTTTCAGTTCCTTTTCCATTGCCTCCTTCCATTTCGCCTTATGTTCCCCCCCCAGAGCCTGCGACAGAGTCGTTGGCTCTCGCGGAGATGGCGGCGGCGGGTGCTGGACGGAGACCCATAAGCCGAGGATTTGCAGTCTCGTGGGTGTGTGTCGAGGGGAATTTTCATTCCCGGGATAGGCTGCTTCGTCACCATCTTCTGGATCAGGTAAGAAGTTGGGGCCGATGCGTTCTGAGATATTCGTGTCGACCGGGTGAGGTGTAGCGTAACCTTGGTCAGCGAAGTGGTAGAGGGTGTCGAGGTTGTTGCTATCGAGAGGATTGTCTTCGTCGAGGGGAACAGGTACGGAGCAGTAAGGGAATGGTCCGGCAGCTTCCGAAGCTCCAGGTACGTCTTCTTCTGTTGCGTCAACCTCGGCAGCACGGTCAGCGAAGGAGCGAAGGCCTGCGACACCGTCGGTGGGGTCGTGTGTGTTGGCTCGCGCGGAGACGGCGGCGGCGGGTTCTGGACGGAGACCCATAAGCCGAGTATCTGCAGTCCTGTGGGTGTGTGTCGAGGGGATTTTTTCATTCCCGGAATAGGCTGCTTCGTCACCATCTTCTGGATCAGGTAAGAGTGATAAGGCGCAAAGGTAGGCGCTTGATTGTGTCGCCCGAACGATGAGTTGTCGAGGCTCATCGGCGCTAATCACATGTTTCCTCCGTTGCTCTGTGTTGAATGCGCAGGTGTCCTTGTCTGCTGCTGCTGGTCGAAGTGTGACATGAAGCTGAAGAACCTTTCCATAAGGTTCGGGTCCACGCTTGAGGAGGGTGATGGGGTAACCATTTCTAGTGCTCTTCCTGTTGTTTCTTGAGCAGCGCCGGTCTCGGTTTGCAGTCCTGAAGTGTGCAGTCCAGAGTTGCCGGGTTGCGTGTCTTGGGCACTGGGTGAGCCCGTAGAGGTTTTCTTGCCCTTGCTGTCCATGACTTCTAATCAATGAAGTCGTTGGTGTGCTGATTGTAGATAGAATGTAGTTGCTGGGAGTTTGGTCTCTGACCAGCTCTCATACCATGTTGGGCTGAGAAAAGCTCTTAGGATCTTTCAGAGACTAAGTCCCACTTGTACAAGATACTTGAGTAGTGCAGTGGAAGTTGAGTAGTTGAACCCTTGCAATAGTATGTGAGAGCAAGTGATTGAATAAAAGGACAAGCATACAGCAATATATAGAAAGTAGGAAAGTAAGGCAGTTGTAGAATACAGTTGAAAGGGCGGTTTATCGAGTCGCACAGCGGTGGAACTTATAGGACTTCAGCAGCGCGACGTGCTTGTGCTTGTACTCGATGAAGACGACGATGACTGCGCCGAGAATCTTGCGGAGTCGCCGCACAGCGTCACCACGTGCAAGCCACCTTATAGCGTAGAGCCCCTGATGTTCGAGGTTCGTGTCGTGGATGACAAGCTGCAGAGCCTTGAACCTCTCGTACTACGGAGTCGAGCGACCAACGATTTCCCCGAAAGCTCGGATGATCACGTCGACGATGAACAGGTCGGGGAAGGAGTTGGAGGCGTCTTTGACCGCCAGCGCTTCTCTGCGATGGCACCAAGGCACAAGTGAGGTTAGAAACATGCATGGATAATCATAGAGACATGGACAGGAGGGTACTGCGATGGCAGTCTTACCGATGTGCGATGCAATGGCAAGCGACAAGGTGCGGGATACGCAGTCGGAGACGAGCGACGAGCCCGTTCTTCTCACCGGTCATCACCGACGCCCCATCGGTGCTAATACCGGCGATCTTTTGAAGCTCAATGCCACTCCCCTCCAGGTGACCCAGCAGGACAGACTGGAGCGACGCGGCATCACACTTGTCGATGGTGAGCAGGATCAAGAACTCAGTGACGACGCGCCGCTTCTTTAAGAAGGTGCCGAAGACGATGAGATGCTTTCCGCGGGTGCGGTCGGTACTCTCGTCGCAGCTGATGCCGATGAACTGGGAGGAGTGGATGTGCTCCATCTGTTGTGCCTTCAAGAATGCCACCATGGCTTTCACCATCTCCTTGAATCCATACCTGCGACAAACACCATACAATAAGACAACAGATTAGATATCAGTCCCGTATTCAATAGATTATACAAATATGAAAACAGCGCGCTTACTTCGTGATGTACGCGCCGTAAGTCTGCTTGGGTATGTCCTTCACCCCCTCCTGTGACAGGTGACCGATTAGACGTGTGAACATTGAAATCGGGGCATCTTCCTTACAGATGAATAGCATGGAGCGTAAAAGTCTGATGACGCGGGCGGCGTCGGGGTCGTTCTTGGCGAAGTCGTCCATGCGCTTCTGGTTCTCGATTTCCTTGTCAAGGTGAGCTTGCTTCTGCACGCAGGCCTCATGCTTGATGCTCTCCTCGTGCCACCGCATGCTGCCAATCTGTAAGTCCCTGCCGCCAGGCCCATCGCGACCGTAGCGGGCTGTCGGCTTGCCATGCTGCATGCACACACTGCAACGTAAACACGGTGAGCCATCGTCAGTTTTATCCAAGACGAGCCAAGGAAACCTTCCATGCCAATCTGAGGTATATTTCTTTTGAGCAGCAAGATAAGCTTTGGCCTTCATCTCGGCTGACGTTGGTGCGAGGGGTCGCTCTGCTTCAACGGCGGGGGCAGGGGTTGTTGGCGGCGTTATCTTGGAAGGAGGCGCGAAGGGGAGATGCCTCTACTGGTACCGCCGTCTCTTCTTAGCCGACGATGTTGATGCAGATGCCGGCGGCGAGAGCACGGGATCCGGAGGTGGAGGATCTCCCGGCTTGTCAACCGACAGATTCGCCTCCTCCATTTCACGCTCCCATTCGTCGCTGCTTAGACTCGGGAGCGGCAGAGGCTCTACTGGGGGGGCGGTAATTCGACGCGTCGGGAGCGGAGGAGGGTCTACTGGGGAGGCGTTCGTGCGACGCAAAAAGTCTAAACCGCTGAGTGGGGTCGAGCTACGTGGGGGTGGGGCGTCATCCTCATCCTCCCCGCCATCGTCGGCATCGCCCAGGCCAGCCATAGCTGGCGAGGCAGGACGACGAGAGGATTTGAGGCTGGCGGAATAGATCACGTTCGACGAGATGTGAGAGAGGGTTGCTAAACTGGTACACTAGCGGCTACTGCCGATGTAATACAGGGGGAGAAGAACAGGGTGAAGAAGACGAGGCTTTTTCTCGCCTGTTCTTGGTGCCCGTGGCGCCATCGACATGAAGGTTGGGTGCCTTTTTTAGCCATCCTGAACGTTCGAGAAGGGCATATGCCCGCGCGTGCGGGAAAAGATTCCCGCTGTGTTGCATGCCTGTCGATGTGCGTGGCTGCAAAAAATGACCAAGGGGCCAATTAGAGGCACATACACGTACAGCGAGTACAAGTGTGGCAGCAGTCGACGTGGTAAACTCGGGTGTGGCGCCGAAACCTGCGTAAAAAATACACAAGTGTCCAATAGGAGAGAAGGGTATCTGCCAGCGAGGGTGGGTCTGGCAACATATGACGTGGGCCAGCTCGGCGGTCTGCGTGAACAAGGCAAGGATATGGGGGCATGTATGTGGACAGGGGGGTACAGGAAAATACGGGGGTATCCTCCTTACAGTAAACCCCTCAGGGTGGTACAAAAGAAAACCCTGGCTCATCAGAGAAAACATATAATCTAAAAATTTTACCCAGAGGCATAAGGGTGGTACACAAAATCAACTCTGAAAATCAGAGAATCAGAGTAATTTACTCGTGAAAAATAGGGACTGCACACGGCCCGCCTGCACAGGTTGCGTGCAAATCTCGCGGCCAATCAGGATGCCATGCGCTGCCAGCTCATAACGCGGGTCGGAAGATCCACGTTGTAGCATTACACAGATCCGGCTCTGCAGGGTTCAGATCCAACTTCGAGTAGAGCCAACTTTGTAGGAATCCGCCCTAAGATCTGCCTATCTATTCTGCATATCGATGAATTCTGTGCACCACATTGCAAGCACTTGAGCTTCCTCTGCTTTGAGTCCCAATTGGATTGTGGTATGCGCTCTACGGGCATGACGCACAGCAGTTGTGCGATTACGAGGACGCGGGCATGACATAGGTGATGGTAGCGCGCGCAGCCAGCCAGTCCAGCACCGTCTTGCCCTCCAACACCTCCGCCGCCTGGTGGGGTGGCGGGTGGAGAGAAGAGGGGATGGTGACAATGAGAGAAGGCGCGAGTTGGTGGGGTGGAGGCGAAAAGCCCGATACCCGGAGACAGCTGCCATGCCACGCTGCTTGCTCTCTCCCTCATCATATCACTGACCACCAGCTCCCACCAGCTCGGTGATGTGCTGCACGCTGTGCCTCGCTCACCTCTACCTGCTGCGAGCAGCGCTCACCTCCTGTGGACAGCGCTCACCTGCTGTGGGCAGCGCTCACCTGCTCTCTGACGCGCTTCTCGTCGAACTCCTGGTTGAAGCGCTTGAACTCCGCCTCCGCACTCGCCACCTCCGCCTCCAGCTCCGCATCGCTGAACTGCAGGGGTGGCATGGTGGGCATGATGGCCAAGGGGGCACGGGTGGCATTTGGTGGGAACAGGGTGATGGGTGGGTGGCATGTGGTGGAAAGGTGGAAAGGGAGCAGGGTCAGAAGCAGGGGCGGAGAGAGCATGGGAGGGGGGATGAGATGGAGCGCCCTCAAGCCTCACCTGCAGCCCCTCCACGGGGTACACCTCACCTGCAGCCCCTCCAGCCCCTCCACAGGGCACATCTCACCTGCAGCCCCTCCAGCCCCTCCACGGGGCACATCTCACCTGCAGCCCCTCCGCGCAGCACACCTCACCTGCAGCCCCTCCACGCAGCACACCTCACCTGCAGCCCCTCCACGCGGTACACCTCTTGCACGGCGAGCGCCTGTTTGACCTGGCGCTCGATCTTGTCCCGCTGCGCCCGCAGGTAGTTCTCCACCATGCCCTCGCCCATCAGCGCCTTCACCTCCTCCGCCCGCAGCTTGCCCTCCGTCTGAAAGGGGGGGGAGGTGCGTGGATTGGTGCACACAGAGATGGTTGCACATGGGTGGGAGGCCTTGGGGCGGGGGGGGGGGAGAGCATCAGAGCAGGGGCCAATACATGGTGAAGGACCATTAAGTCGGAGGGCAGAAGGATCTGGCAGGCTGGCCGGCTGTGCCCTCACCTGCAGCTCGATGAGCTTGGCGCCGTACATCTGCCGGCCTTGCTCCTCCAACAGTGAGTTGGGCACTGCCATGGCACACACCTGCCACCACCGACACACCGCGGCAATGATGCTGGGTCATGGATAACAAAGACAGCTCCTTTACAAACCTCCCCACATCCCTCCCCTATGCCGCAGGCATACCTTGTCGTCCAGGCATACCTCCCCCAGGCATACCTCCCCCAGACAGGGCTTACCTCCCCCAGGCAGAGCGTACCTCCCCCAGGCAGAGCGTACCTCCCCCAGGCAGGGCGTACCTCCCCCAGGCAGGGCGTACCTCCCCCAGCCAGGGCGTACCTCCCCCAGCGCGTTAACGATGGCGTTCAGGGTGGCCTGCTTCCTCTTCTGCTGCTGCTCCACCTGCCACGCCCCCGCCACCTTGCGCCGCACCTGCAGGGGGGGGCATATGCAGGGAGGGCAGGGGGGATGGGGATATGCAGGGGCGGTGGCATGGTGGCTAGATTATTTGGACGTGCCTCTGCACCTGCACGACCTGCCGCACTGTGCATTCGAGGGGGAGAGGGGCATGGCTCGACAAGAAACGCAAGCCTTTCTATGGTGGGCATGGCACCACCTCATACCTCGGCTATTGTGGTCACTCCCGGAAGAAACTTCTCAGCAAGTTCATCAGTGAGTTGAGGCAGCTCCCTGACGAACAACTCCTGGCAAGTCACCTGCAGAGGGCAGGGGTGGAGAGGGGAGAGGAATGGAGGCAGAGCGAGGTGATAGGGTGACGGTGAGGACAAAACGATATGGTGTGGGGGAAGGGGGGTGGGGGGTGGGGACGAGCAACATTGGGCAACCCAGAGCAGATGGAGAGAGCAACGCAGGGAGCAGGTGCAGCACAGTGGGTGCAGCAGTTGAAGATTGTACTCACAGTGAACGTGGCGGGCACGTTGCGCAGGGACTCGGTCTGCCAGGAGGGGGGGAAGGTGAGGCGGAACTCCCGGGTCTCCCCGCGCTGCATACCCAGCAGCGCGTCCACCATCCCCGGCAGCAGGTACTCGCCCTCCTCCGTGTCCAGCTGAAACCCTGACCACAGGAGGGCGGAGGGGAGGTGGGAGTGGGGAAGAGAGGACGGTGTGTGGATGCTGGGGAGCGGTTTGAGATGATTGATCAAAATGGGCGGAGGTTGGTGGGCGCTGATGAGGAGGAAAGCTGGGCATAGATGGATGATGATCATACCTGCCACAGGGGGCTGATGGGATTGTGGCAAGCGATGGAGACAGGTGGCAGCGGCAGAGAGGAGGCCAGGGAGGCAAGTTGTGGGGCGCCTCAAAACGAGACAGGTGGCAGCAACAGAGAGGAGGCAAGGGAGGCCAGGGAGACGGTGGAGGGGCAGGGGGCACCTTTCTGCGTGGCGGAGAGGATGGGGTCGCCCTTCTCGCCCTCGGCTGTGATGCGATGCGCCTCGATGTCCACTATTGTCACATCGCCCATCTGCACACACACACACACGCACGTACACATGCACGCCCATGTTAGCTTCGGCATGACGGGCACGGGTGCTTGTGCTGGTGCGTGCACATGTGCACGTGTGGGCCATGCAGCAGCAGCAGCAGCACCTTGAGTCCGGCGTCCTGTGAGATGGTGAGGCGCCCCATGCTCTTGAGCTGCGCTCTGATCTGCCGCTCCGCTGCTGCCATGGCCGCCTCGTCGCCATCGTCCTCCACCTCCACCTCCACCTGCAGGTTGGCGTACGCGCGCTCGCTGCTCCACCCCACTGCCGGCGCCACGTCCACCGTCACCTCGTACCTGGAGGGGGGGGAGAGGAGAGGATGGTGATTTAATGTGGTGAGGAGAGAGATGTGAGAATGAAGGGGAGAGAGAGCATGTGCGAGGGGGAGAAGGGGGTTGGGGGGGGGCGCCTCACGTGAGGGGGGAGTCGGGTTGGAAGGCGGTGACGAGGTGGTCCACGTTGCTTGTGATGTGCTCCGAGTCCTTGAGCGCCCGCCCTGCCACCTGGTGCCACACACGCACGCACGCACATGCAGCCATGGGCCACCTACTCTGAGCCACGCGCGAGCTGGCTGGTCAGCGAAACATTGCAGTACGCGAGAGGAGTGAGGGGAATAGAAAGGAGTGAGGGGCGGGGCAGAGGACAAAAGGGGAGAGGGAGCAGCAGCGAGGGGGGACGAGGCAGGGAAGGGAGGGGGCCACACCGATGCGAGGGCGTCGGAGAGCGTGGACTGCAGCAGCAGGTCGAGCGCCTGCAGCTTGACAGCGCGCTCGCCGTACTCGCGCACCAGCAGCCACTCCGGCACGCGGTCGCCCTTCCTGAACCCCTTGATCTGGGGGGGGTTGCGGAAGGGGGAGAATGGCGGAGAGCACCGTGAGAGCGGGCCGATGAAGGCGGTGAGGGCGGCAGTATGGAGGGGCAATGAGGGGAGAGGAGCGTATGGGTATGGAGGGGAGGGGACAGGGAAATACGGGCGACGGAATGAGGGCCGGCAACAGGTGCGGACAGCGCACGGTGACTGCAAGGGGAGAGGAATGCGCTGTGAACGAGAGCCACTCGCCTCTGCGCCACCTCACCTGCGTGGTGCGCATCAGCTCCTTCACGGTCCGCTGCCACGTGTCAGCGCAAATCGCGGCGGGCACCGTCACCGTCAGCCGAACCTGCTCAAGAATCGCCGCACCGCACAAGGGCATAAGCAGGGCTGTGGCTCAGGGTTCAGGGTTTGGCAGTAGCTTCCTACCCTTCCGCGCCCTGACGGCGAGTCTATCAAGGCAAGCGGAAGACACGGGCGGCCTCTCGCCCCGCCTTGAGTCCTCGTTCAGCCCATCAACAAGGTAGCGCTTCCTCGCCGCGCTCCCTAAACTGCCTTCCGTGGAATGCGACGCACTGCGCCAAGCCTATCGCTGCGAGATCGGCGTCTCAGAGGCCGCGACGGGCCACGTGGTCCCTCGCCGGGACGTGCGACGAGGCGATTCGTAGCGAATGCGAGGCGGTCATGCGAGTGCTTTGGTGCCTATAAGAGGGAACGAGCGCGAGATGGCTAATTAGCAATGGCAGCCATGAGTGCGTGAACAGGAGTCGGTTGAGCCAATCAGCATTGTCTCCCCATGCCCCTCCCCCGTTCGACTGGTCCGCGCCACTCACCCGCGAGTTCTCCTCCTCCGACTCCACCACCTCCACTCGCGCCTTCTCCGCCTTCGCCTTCGCTTTCCTCTTCGCCCCGCCCTCCGCAGAAGCTGTCGCAATCACGCGCTGGACGTCATCGGTGACTGTTGCAGATCGTCGCATCTGCTTTCGCCGGCAGCATCCCTGCCGCTGCTGCTTCAATGGCGTGCCCAGGAATGCGCAGACAGGTCGGCCACTGTGGGTGTTCGAAACGGCGGCACGAGTGCGAGGGCAATATCCTTCGCGGGAGGAGTGAAATGCTAGTGATGTGGCAGGCGCGGAGGCGAGAACCTTCGACGCCATTGCAGAAAGGTGAGAGAAATTGAAAAATGTTGTTTTCAAATGATAAGGATGATGAGGCGTTAGAGCTCAGTACGCTTTACACGGAGGGCTTCATTATTATTGCATCAACCAAACAAGCAAATACACTATACTGCCGCATTTCCTACGTTTAGGGCGTGGAACTACGGTTCCGAACTTATGAATGGTCGGAACCGTACAGTGATCTTAATAACGGTTCTGGCATTTTTCAGTTAGAAATTCGCGTGGTATAGTGTGGTGGAAGTTAGAACAGAGCCTGTTCGAGCATTATGTTCCACGCCCTTAAAAGTAGCATCGGACCTAAATAAGCTAATCTGACGTCCGAGACCCCCGAAACCTCCCGAAGTTGGTTCGACGTTATTTTCGTGCGAACTTGCACTTTCAACAATAACAATACTGACCAGACTGCCCAGAGTCAGACTTTTGACCGACACAACATTTGAATCTTCGATGCGAACTCACACAGTACTGATTGACAAACTGACCAAAAAAAAAAAAAAAAAAAAAAAAAAAAAAATCGACTAAATCGTCTTAGGGTTGTGGAGCTATCTTTTTTTTGTTGTTGCTGTTGGGCTGATAAAAGCCCTTAGGATCTTTCCAGAGACAGTCCCAGTTGTAGAATGAGACTTGAGTAGTGCAGCGGAAGTTGAGTAATCGAACCCTTGTACTAGTATATGAGAACAAGTGATTGATTAAGAAAAACAAGCATACAGCAATATATAGAAAATAGGAAAGTAAAGCAGTTGTAGAATACAGTTGCAGGAGCGGTTATCGAGTCGCACAGCGACTCGATTGTCGCTTCGGTTACCATCCGCGCTGTTGTAACGGTCAGTCGCAACCTCCGGTTGCGACCCATCGAGTCCTTTCGTGTTCTTTGTCCATCCCCTCGTGTAACCTCCGTTGACTCGCGTACTCGTTACGATCTTCCTCGAGTGTGATGCTACACTTCAGAAACGCTTAAGTCCTTGAGATATTTCCAACACTCCCCTTCGTTTCTGGAGTGCTGACGTGTTCAGATCCGGTGATGTTTGTCTGCCCGGTCAGCAGCATGCAGTAATCGAATTTCGCCTTCGCCAGTTTCTTCGTCAGGTAGTCTGCGGCCATTTCTGTTGTAGGGCAGTAACTGAGTTGAAGTCTCCCCTTCGCGATTTCATCTTTGACGAAAAAATACCGCAGGGCAATGTGCTTGGTTCGGTTGACGAAGCCGTCCTTGTTCGCGATTTTGATCGCAGATTGGTTGTCGCAGAGGAGTGAGAAGACGGGCAGGGTCGCAATCTTCGCTTCCTCTAGCAGCTCTCGTAGGTAGAGTCCTTCCTTGGTCGCAGTACAAAGGGCGATATATTCTGCTTCAGCCGAAGATAGTGCGATTAGTTCCTGCTTGCTCGACTGCCAGGAAATAGTTCCGATAGGTTCTACTCGGTAGATGTAGCCCGTTCTCGATCGTCGATTTTCCTTGTCTCCCGCGTGGTCGGCGTCGACGTATCCGAGTAGTCGTACGGACGGTGTCGTTACTTTGCTGTAGGTGAGCCCGGTCGTCGGCGTGGAGACGAAGTAGAGTAGTGCCCGATTAAGTTCCTCGAGATCTTCTTGTTCCGGCTGCTTCAGATGCGTCGCCAGTTGGCTTGCGCTATAAGAGAGATCGGGTCGGCAGGTTACTGCTGCGAATAGTAGGCAGCCGAGCTTCTGCTGATACTCCTGGATTTGCTTCGCGGGGAGTTTTGCGGAGGTGCTGTTGTTGTTCCCGTAGCGGTAGGGAGTCGGGACCGTAGTCGGCGTTAGACCAAATTTCTTCGCGACAGTGCCTGCGTACTTTCCAGCGTGTAGGTAGAGCGCTGAGTTGTCTTCGACGACATTCAGTCCCAGGTACTGGGTCACTGCGTCGGCCACCGTGAGTGTCAAGTCCTCTTTCAGCTCCCCTTCGAACCAGGTGGCGATGTCGGTAGTGGAACCGATGTAGAGCAGGTCGTCGACGTAAACGATGAGTAGGATATACTCTCTTCCCTTTTGCAGTCGGTACATGCCTTGGTCATGCGGCAGCTGTAGGAATCCGATTTTTACGAGGCGACCGTGAAGATAATGCTGCCAGAGCCGCGGGGCTTGCTTGATCCCGTATAGGGATTTTATCAGCTGGCATACTTTCGTGGGGTCGTCGATGAATCCGTGGGGTTGCTCGACGAAGATCTCAGCGTCCACAGGTGCGTACAGGAATGCGTTTGCGACGTCGATTTGGCGCAGTGGTAGTTTCTTTGTGGCCGCGACGGCGAGTAGGATGCGCAATGAGGTGTGACGGGAGACTGGGGCGAATGTTTCTGTGTAGTCGGTTCCGTATCGTTGATCGAACCCTCGTACGACCCATCGAGCTTTGAATCGTTCGGTGGAACCGTCCGCATTGGTCTTGATGCGGTACACCCATTTTCCCGAGAGGACGTTCTTCCCGTTGATGCTTGTTGCAGGTACCAGCTTCCATGTATTTCGGGCTTGCAGAGCCTTTAACTCCTTTTCCATCGCCTCCTTCCATTTCACCTTATGTTCCCCCCCCAGAGCCTGCAACAGAGTCGAGGGCTCGCGCGGAGATGGCGGCAGCGGATGCTGGACGGAGACCCATAGGCCGAGTATCTGCAGTCCCGTTGGTGTGTGTCGAGGGGAATTTTCATTCCCGGAATAGGCTGCTTCATCACCGTCTTCTGGATCACGTAAGAAGTTTGGGCCGATGCGTTCTGAAACATTCGTGTCGACCGTGTGGGGTGTAACGTAACCTTGGTCAGCGAAGTGGTAAAAGGTGTCGAGGTTGTTGCTATCGAGGGGATTGTCTTCGTCGAGTGGAACAGGTACGGAACAGAAAGGGAGTGGTCCGGCAGCTTTCGAGGCTCCAGGTACGTCTTCTTCTGCTGCGTCAGCCTCGGCAGCATGGTCGGCGAAGGAACGAAGGCCCGCGAAGCCGTCGGTGGGGTCATGTGTGTTGGCAATGTTGTCCAGGTAATGCTGCAGCGTCAGTCGCTCGTAGAAGATAACATCACGTGATGCCACTGTAGTTTTGTTTTGTATGTCAAGGATTTTCCATGCGTGAAAATGTTGTGCGATGCCGAGGTGTAGCCCCCATCGTGCTCGTTGGGTGAAACGTCCTGCTCTGGCTGTGTGGGGTCTGTACTGTACCATGCAACCGAAAACTCGAAGTAATTTTGTGCTGCCCCGTTTTCGTGTCCATAGCAGGTGCGGTGATGCGTTGTTGGGAAGTGATGACGAGGACAGCAGGTTGTGCAGGTGGACTGCATGTGTCATTGCGTCTGGCCACAGTGTGGTGGGCAGTTTCATCCCCAGGAGCAGCTTCCGCATCGTCGTCTGCAAGGTCCGGTTCATACGTTCGGCGACCCCCTGCTGCTGGTGAGCGTAGGGCAGAGACACCAGGCGTCTGATTCCTCTTTCCGCCAGATAGGTCCTGAAGCGTTGTGACTGGTATTCCAGTGCACCGTCTGACTGGAAGCTCTTGAGCTTTGTTCCTGATTCTCGTTCAGCGATGGGTAGCCATGTCGTGAAGGCGTCGAAGGCTTGATCGCGCGTCTTGAGGTTGTAGTGCCAGACGTATCTTGTTGCTGCGTCGATAAACGTGATGACATAGTTGAAGTCGGCTTCAGTGTCTTCTCGAGGCATGTTTAAAATGTCGCTGTAGACTTTTTCCATCGGTGCGTATGCAGGTGAGCTTGGGTTGTGATTAGATGGGAAAGACTGGTGGGGAAGATCGGCTTCGGGGCACGTAAAGCACCGCGCGTGTGGTCGTCGAAGTTCTTAGCCGTTCATTGTAAGGAGGGCGTTGCGTTCTAACACTTCGGCTTCGATGGATTGTAGTATTGTACTGTTTGCAGGGTGCCCGAGTCGTTGGTGCCAGATGTCGTCGGGAGCGCGATGGCCGGGCGAGCGGTGGTATATGTCGGTGTTGGAGAAGAACGCGACGACCGTGGCGGGACTTCGAGAGACTTCTCGTGTGATGGGCATAAGTTGATCTGCTTCGTTTGGCGGTCCTCGGATCGCTGGTGGTGGTACTCGGCTGGGTCCTGCTGCTGCTACTGCAGGTGATGGTTGGGAAGGGACAGTTGCTGGTACTTGCCTTTCTTGTCTGATGACTGCTAATGCTCGTGTTCTTTCTGCTGCAGGTATGGTATTGGAGTGCCAGAACCCATCAGGGTCGAAGTCGGGGTCAAGATCCGGCGGGTGTGTCCAGGCGGCGAACGACACGATTCCGTCGCTGTTGGCAGTATCGCGGTCGGGGACGAAGTCCAACACGAAGACGCCGGACTTCAGGAGAGCACGACTGATGAAGAGACCGCCCTTCCCGTGGTAAAGGCGAAACTCGTTGGAGTAGGAGTCGCACTCCAGGTGAATCCCTTTTGCCATTAGCTGGCTGACGCTTAGTAAGTTGTATCCCAGGTTGTCGACGATGAGGACCTTGTTGAGTTGAAGTATAACGTTTGTCTCCATGGATTGTAACTGAACCACTCCTTGTCTGTTTGTTTTCAGGTTTTCTTTGTTGGCGATGGTGATGATGACGTCGCGGGTGAGGCGTCGCTCTCGTTGCACGAAGCGTCCAGAAGAACACATGTGTTGACCGCACCAGCTGTCCAAGAACCAGGTGTTTCGCCCGGTGGGTTCGGCGTTGGCGACCGCAGCGTATGTCGGGTTGACCTCAAGTCCTTGTGAGCGCGGCGGCGGAAGTTCTTCTTCGTCTGGTGCGTAAGTGGGTGGTGATCCGGGTGCGCAGTTGTCGATGTGTACCATGCAGTTAATGATGTTCGGTGTCCCTTGTGCAGATGTGGAAGAGCGCCTTGGAGGGCTTTCTTGAGTGGAGGCGACGTGTGGGTCTACTGGACGATAAACACGAGGACGTGTGCAGTTCACCTTGGAATGTCCGGAAGTCTGACAGTTGTGGCAGAACGGTGGCACGAAGGTGAGTCCTGTGTTGTCGCGTTGATCTTGTTTGCCGCGTCGATTGTAGTTGTTGTCGTTTCTT